GGAGGAGACATGGGTATTGTCTTAATGGATGGTGTGTAATAATGTATACCTACTGTGCAGAAGTGATAAGGTGTGGTATTCCAAGCTAACGAAGGGGAGATGGGTTTGTGGGCTGCCACCGCTGCAAACTTGCCTAGTGTCCTGACATCACGGTCATGTGTCTGAACCACCTTCTAGAAATTTTTCACTTTAGTCCCTGATGTAAGCACATGGAGTCCTAAGTTATCTCTCCAACAGCCAGTTGACTTTCTAAGTGACCACATCTCTAGGAAGTTGAGGACAAGGGAGTTTAGGTTTATGCTAATTATTTTTCTAAGAAACATGCAATACAAGACACACCAATTAAAAAGATAAAGCAGATCTCCCTCTTCTTTTATGCTGTCTCCAAAACAGTCCCCCCACTCATCTGTCATCAATATGGGCATTTTCTGAGAAACACTTTTCAGTATCTGCTCTCTAGTTCATCTTTCACATACAGTGGAAATGAATAATTTAATCTGGCATTCTCCCCACCCACCTACCCAGCAAATGTTTTTTTCCTAATCTGAGGTTTTTTCCCTAATCTGAGGTTTTTTCCCCACCCAGCAGAGTGTGATCAACACAACGCAGTGACAATTTAAGCAAGAGAGAAATATCACTTTAAAGAGGAAATGCCAAGAATTGTAAATGTTAAAGAAAAATGTGACATGGGCCATGAGCCACAAACACAGAGGTATAGCACTGTCAGGAGACCATGAAATTGTTGGGGGGAGGGGACAGAAAAAAAGAAAGGAAAACCATGTGGCAGGTAATTGCAGCTTCCTATTGCTCCGGAGCCACACTCATCTCAGATACATTTGCTTTCATTTTCTCTACTTCCAGGAACACTGACCTTTCTGTTCCCGGAATCCTTAAGGCAAAGTACAGTTTATTTTGACTTGTGCATTCATAGAGTGGCATGAGTGTCTGAAAATACCCAAAGGATCATACTCGTAGAAGAAGAGAAATTGATCCTGGACACTTCAGTTTCAGTCTATACTACAAGCTCAGACTTCATTGCTCCCATTTTCTTTTTGTTCTTGTGCTGGGTGAAGTCATATACCAAAATTCATGAAAGGAAAATATTTAATTGGATGTACTACTAAGTTAATTAGTCTAGTTTTTTTTTTAATAGTTTTCAAACCTGAGGCTAGTAACAATTTATAGGTGGTCAGAGCCATAAAAAAATGGATTTTTTTTTTCTTTTACTGTTGGTGACTATTACCCGGGGCAAAACCATGCAGCTTATAATGTTTGTGGACTTGTAAATGTTTATAAGTTTGAGAAGCTGGGTAACAGCCAGTTCTCAGTGTGAAAGGAGGATTGAAGTGATGTGGGGCACCGAGTCATAAGTCGAAAAAGAATTTTCAGACATGAGCTGTTCATTTATTTGTGCACCTTTATTTCGTGTTCAGCACGGGGACAGGGCCCATGGACAGTAAAGGGCTGCTGTGCAAGTGTTTCAGCATGGGGACGGGATGCATGGGCAGTAAAGAGCTGCAATGCAAGTATCTGTGCAGGGCCATTATATACGATTTTAGCTATTTTACTATTCTACAGAAATGTCAAAGTAAAAAATATTAGGTGATCTGGTTAGTCTCAAAGATTAGGGCATGGGGGACGATGAATGAGATGTGTCCTTGCATTCCAAGGTACGGTATGCCTCAAGGAATACATAGGCAGGAGATTAAAGTCATTGATCACCTCCTGAGGTAAATCCCTTCGCTCCTAGCCAGAGGCGATTGAGTAAGTAGGGGCATGCGAGACTGTCTCATGGAAATTGTAAAACGAGTCATAAACAAGGTTTTGACCACATCAGAAGGGGAATCAGTAAGCCAGAGACCACCCTCTTTCCAGATCCAAGAGTTTGTTTTCCTATCTCAGTTTTCTGATTTTTTTTGCTGTTTTTTGACACTGTGGTGCTGTCACCTCCTGTTTGGCAAGGTTTTATTCTTTAACTTCTGTGCCAATGCCTTTCACTGTTCCTTTTATGACCTCCCTTTCTTTTCCCTTCCCCACTCCCACCAGCCTCATTACCTGTTATTTGTATGACCTCGGGCAGGCCATTTCACTCTGTGCACCTCATCTATAAAATGAGAAGTTTAAAAATATTCCCTTAAAGTTCATCTTCCAAAATTATGCTTTATTTTTATTCACTCCCCTGGAGAATTTGCCTGTTTGATCTTATTTATTATCTATATATGAAAAAGTTCTAAATCTATATTTCCAGCCTCATTTTCTCTCACTCTCAACTGTCCATATGCCATTACAATATAAATGTCCATTAACATTTGAGACTTAAATTTTGAACACTGCTGGTGGAAGTGGAAATTGGTACCATCTTTTGGAAGCAAATTAATAACACATTTGAAGAGTCATGAAATATATTCATACATGCTGACCCAGGAATTCTACTTCTAGGAATTCATCATAATAAATACTTTAAGATATATTTTTGGAAAGCCATAAACATAAGTATGTTCATTGCTCCTCCCTTCCCAAGTTGAAAGGCATCTAAATAACCAACAGCAAGGGAATAAAGAAACTTATGATACATTAATTTGATAAATACTAAAAGACTATTAAAATAGTTTAGTTCCTTGTAGCCACATGGAAAATATGTGCAATAATACATATAACGTAATGTAATACAATAGCATGTGAGCAGAACTACCTACAAAGTTCCTACAGGAAATATACCAGAATGATAATAATTGTGGGTTCAGGTGGCAGATCAGATGCGAGTTTTTATTTTTTCTGTTTCCAAGCTTCCAATTATATCTTTTATATCACTTGCGTAAGTCAAAAAAGAGAAAACCAATGTTGAAAGTTGGTCTCATTTCCTTTCTTCCTAAAATCTTGCTTCCTCCTGGCTTCCCCGTGGCTTTGAGTGGCCACGTGTCTTCTCAGTCCTCTTGGTGCTCTGCTCTGGAGTTCTTAATTTTCTAATTGTCTTTTCCTTTTACCTCTCATACTCAAACTATCCCCAAGTGCAGTGGAATCTTCTACAACAAATTCCATCCATTACCATCCTCTGCTCAAATCCCAGCTCTCAGCCCCTGTAGCTAGAATGTATTTGACAGCCACCGATAGTCTACCTAGTTCTCTCCTCACAAACCTACCTTTGCTTCCTTTATCTACCAATTTCAAATTTGAACCCCAGTGTAGATTTTACTACCCTTTTCTATATAATCTCTGTTCAACTTGTTACCTTGTTTTATAAATATCCGCATCTCAAATTCTCTACTTTGGCCAGAAGGCTCTGCTGAGTTTCATTTCCATGTTTCGTACTTGCTTCTTGCTTCCTCTCTCAAAATCCCCTCTCAAGTCTGTATTATCTATCCTACCCACGTTTGGGGATGCTTTACTCTATGTATCCTCGATCCTTATTAATGTGGACTTTCTAAGCATCCTAGTGAGATTCAAGTGTGATAAAATATTTGAAAAGTGTTGCACAAATATTAGGTAATATGTTGTTAGAGTATGGCATAATCCTTAAAGAATTACAATTAGTGGCTAATATTTTTTTCTAATCTTAAAAAATTTTGAAAAAACAGATTCTAGAAATAACAGACTAGTGAACATAATATCAGTCACAAAGAAAATACTAGAAAGTATTGTGACACCCATAGTTTTATTGTCATTGAGACAAGAAATGGCAGTCAATAGAAGCCTTAAGAACAGGGCATTCCAGATTCATTTTGATCACGTTCATTAGCCTTGACCAGGGGAGTGCTTTCAGCACAGTATTTGACAAAGCATCTTTGGCAACCATGTAGACAAGGCTAAGAAATGTGAGCTGGATGATCCTTTCGTGGGTAAATTCATAGCTGGTTGAAAATCTGTACCAAGAATCTTGGTTAAGATAGAGATCCACTTAGAAAGAGGATACTAATCATTCTGTTACTGATCTCTTCAGCATTTTTATCAAAGACTTAAATAAATAATCAGAAAATATTTATATCAGATTTGCCCAATTAAATAGCTAGAAAGGATGGTTTGTGCTATGAATGTCAGAAAAAAAAGGGAAAAAAAGTCCCCCAAAGCCTAAAATTTCAGACTAATGTCAAGAAGATGAAATAAAGTTCAGATAAATATGAATCCTTCAACTCAGGTTTAAGAAATTGGCTACACAAATGCCGGATGGGTGGGACTTGGCTTAACAAAACTTCGTGTAAGAAAAAAAGTCACCAGAGGCTTCGGTTGGCTGTATCTCCAATATGCGCCACAAAGTCATAGAGAGGCAAAAACAAAAAAGCCACTTTGGAGTAGACTAATCCATATAGGGTCTAGAGCCAGGGAAGTAAATATTCTTACTTTACCCTGAACTTACTGAACCAGAGTTCGAGAAAACCGTTTAATTCTGGGTGCCTTATTTTCATGGAGAAAATGGACAATCCAGAGGTAATACAAACACTGTGAGCAGGAAGAGAAATGTGAGGAAACTAGAGCAAATCAGGAAGAGGTAAAAAGAAACGGTGTGTTCAGCTTAACAAAGAGATCATACAAGAAGTGCCACGACAGCTATGCTCGTATACATAGCGAACTTTCAGGTGAAAGAGGGATTAAGGTCCAACAGACAGCCAAGGTTTGAAAACAAGGCTTTAATGCACTGTAGGTGCTTGGAAAGCTGGGATGCTGAGGAAAGTGGTGTCATCATGAAATGAATTTCTTGGCTGCCAAAGAATGAGTCAAATCCATGCTTTTTTAATAGCTTCCCTGTGCCTGGTGTGTGTATCTAGAGCATTCTACAGAAGTCAACACGTGAAGATGAAATAACAAAAGTCAGAGAGGGGGAGGACTGCTCTGTGGCTTTGATGCCTGTGGAGGTGGAGTGAGAACTTATCAATCTTTCAACAGCATTCACAGATCTCATAGCATTTTTCAGTCACATTTAAGGTATGAAAGACTGGCAAATATTAATTTATAAAATTGAGTTAAATTAAAAAATATTGTGTGAAATTGAATGGAAACTGGTTGTCTCAGTCAACAATGGAATCCTTCAGTAAGATGATAGCTTCTTCATTTCTCTCCTGGGACCTATAAATTATGGGGTGAGGGAAGTAGGGGAAGGGGAGAGGGAACAGCATCTTTATTCACGCTTTGTTTAAATACTTTCAGAAGATTTTAAAAATATCATTTGTTTTAGAAAAGATTTATTCTGAATTTTTACTGAAAGTGGGTTAAACCAGACTTTCTCAAGGTGCTAACAGATTCTGTGTCTCTAAATCCTCACTAGAAAGATCTGTTAAGATTTAAGTGGAGCTGCAGGTAATTCTCAGGTTTTCTATCTGCATTCCTGCTACACTGCTTGGGAGTTTTGGTCTGTACTCTCTAAGTTGTTCACAAAACCTCCACTTGACCTTCAGCAGAGCATGGTCCAGGGCAATACCCGTGGCTCAGGGCTGGAGTCACAGTGATTTGGAGGATGACTTGGGTCTCTAAGGTACTGATCACACCACTGCAGGCTGTGCCCCAGGGCGGCTGAGCCACCTGCCTGGGACAGGCCCGGCCATATATAAAAGGGCAGGTGATTTTATACACAATTTATGTTGAAGGATGTGAAAGATCAGCAAAAAAGTTCAGCTAGCCTAACACCGTATTTTTATTGGAAGGAGCTGGTTCTGTCTCCCACTGCCGGGTCAGAGGGCCCTGGGAGTTACCCAAGCCCTCAAAGTTACAGCTTTCTTGGTGAAGACTCTCTCTTGTTGGTGCCACAGAGAGCTGTTGTCCGGGTGTTACTGTCTTTACAGGTGTCGATCTGCTCTGCTACTAACTGACCTGAACAAACGCTACCCGAGCCCCTGCTCGGTGCTGGGCAGGGTCCTTGGTACGAAGCGGGATGAGGAGTGGAGCCCTGGGAACCACAGAGAGCACGTAACCTGTGCCTACCATTCAGGGTCAGCGAGCATTCACTGAGCAGTGGCTGTATGTGGAGCACATTCCTGAATTTTTATATTAAGTTATTCATTAATCCCCATAAGGATCCTGTGAGGTGGGTGTTATTGCCCTATTATTACTATTATACCCATTTTCCGCATGAGATAATTTGGATTCAGAACAGTTAAGCAACTGGTCTGTGGTCACATGACCTGTCCTCTCACTCCAAGTCTAGTGCCTTTCGTCACCCTGTATCTGCTTATTCTGCCCAGCTTTTCAGGAATCCCCTCTTCCTCTATGACCTTGCTGCCCTAAGTGTGGCCCATGGACCCCATCTCAGCGTCATCTGGGAGCTTGTTAGAAATACAGAGTCTCAGGCCCCACTCAGACCTACTGAGTCAGACTCTGCATTTTAACAAGCCCCTTGGACAGTCCGTCTGCACACTGAGATCTCAGCAGAACTGCTCCGTGAATCATCAAAGGCAGCTGAGAGCAGCCCCTGCTACAGAGCCCCTCTGGCTCCATCTCTGCAGGATGAAGTTCTGTAGAGGGAAAATTAATTTTGACTCTGTAAGTTTTAGTTCTTTAGTGCCAGAAGCAGTTCATCACAGGGCGATTTCACCTAGAAGGCAGTTTCCTTCACAGGCGTTGAAAAATATATATTTCCCACGCAGACCTTATGTTCAACGATTCAGTTTAGCAAACATTTATCATTGTTTGCTATTTGCCAGGCCCTGAGTGAGGTGCAGTCTTAGCGATTTCCGGAGGGAGGTGGTCATCTGTGCTACTTCCTGCTAACTGTGATTCAGTCAATTCCTGATTTATTAAAGTTGCATATTTATAATAAAATTGCACCTGTACTTCTCTTAATACTGCTTTTTTGTGATTTATTCATTTAGTCAAATAACATATTTATTCATTTAGACAACAAATACCTTTAGGTCTTGTGCAAAGCACTGTAGAAGTCTATCGTGTTTATATATGTATTTGTGTTTGCACACAAAATTATATCCTGAAGCAATTCTTGAATGGGGACATGTTTTTTAAAGGAAGATTTTGAAAAATCTTGGTCATTTTACTACTGATTTTATGGTTAGGAGAACTCCACTTCTGAGGTTTCATAAGTCTTTATCAACGTTAACTTGGAAATTCTCCCAATGTCCCAAGGACGGATGTAGACTTAGGAAACCAAGGCTGAAAATTAAGTCCCTCAGGATGTGTTGTGGTTGTTTCCATAATAATTTAACTTGGATGCCATTCAAAATCTGCAGAGGCAAAAATGTTTCAATATTTTTAATTTTCATTTCAAATGGAGCTTCTTAAGAGTCTTTACACCAACTCTGGTAGAGTGGCACCTAAGATGAATGAATAAGTCGGTGAATTTAAATACTTGGGCTCTTCCATTAACATCAAAGTTACACGCTGGGAACTCAGCTTCCTTATGGAAAACTATAGCTCTAAAAATTCCTTGAGGGGATGACATATTCCCAGGAAAAACACATTGTTGGGTAATTTAGTTTTATATGAAAGTATTGGAAGATGCCAAGACTTCCAGTGTAAGACTTCTTAGCTCCACACTCTAGAATAATTCTGCTTTTGATTGGGAATCTTTTGGGGGTAATTAGTCATCAAGGGTTCAGGCTAACAAGTTTGCTATACCTTGAAAGATGTTTCAAAATGTTTTTAAAGGAAGTCATTGAGGTGGAGAAGTTGATTGGTAGTAATATAATATTATTTAATCAGCTTTATTGAGGTTTAATATACATACAATCAAATGTACATTTTAAGCGCACAGTTCAATGAGTTTTGACCCATGTAACACCACCAAAATGAAGATATAGAACATTTCCATTATCCCAGGAAGTTTCCTCGTTTATTGCCAGGTACCTTGCTAAGTGATTTATTTGCATTATTTATTTTAATTCTCATTAATATTATGAAACAGTCTGTTACAGGCTGAATTGTGTCCCCCCTAAATTTAGCCCTCCCCCAGTACCTCAGATTGTTACTATATTTGGAGAAAGGACCTTTAAAGAGGTGATTAAATTAAATAAGCCCGTTAGGGTGGGCCCTAATCCAACATGACTGGTGTTATTATAAGAGGAAACTTGGACACAAACAGAGACACCAAGGATGCACAAGCACAGAGGAAAGACCACATGAGGATACACTGAGAAGGTGGCCATCTGCAAGCCAAGGAGATTGGCCTCAGAAGAAACCAACTCAGAAGACATCTTGATCTCGAACTTCTAGCCTCCAGAACTGCAAGAAGATAAATTTCTGTTGTTTAAGCCACACAGTCTGTGGTGTTGTAACCACGGGCTCTCCAGTTCAACTGACGTCATCTTATCAACAGAGTAATTAAGAGTGGTTTTTCAGAAACTGAGACTGCTTGTCCAGTTCAGGCCGGTTGGGACCACCAACCCATCAACTGGCCCTGCACAAATGCTTGATAAGTGACATTTTTGACATCAAGGAGCTAAAAACTCCACCCTCAGATCATGGTAACACCACCATTTTGTGAACATGCCTCCTCTGAAGAGGCATGAAGCTTGACTACACTTGCGCAGATCATCAATTACCTCACTTCTCCTTACTTCCAATCAGCCATCTCCACACTTCAGACTGCCTTACCCTAAGCCCTGGATCAAGGAGACAGGCCTGAGGGCACACCACCCATCTCCTTGCAGATCCATTTAGCAATGAAGCTGTTTTGTTTTCCCAAAAGCTGAGGCTGTAATTAATTGGCTTTTTATGCGCCTCAGGTAGGAAAACCCCAATTTTGTGCTGTAACAGTGTTTTGTTATGGCAGCCCCAAGAAATGCATACACAGGCATTAGCTTTCGTTTTTTTTTTGTGAGGAAGATCAGCCCTGAGCTAACATCTGTGCTAATCCTCCTCTTTTTGCTGAGGATCACCAGCTCTGAGCTAACATCTATTGCCAATCCTCCTCCTTTTTTTCCCCCAAAGCCCCAG